TAGTTGTACCCGAACTATAGCTGATGTCAAACACCGTCGCGTAAACTAGCTTACGAATATACGCGATTCAAATCCGGAAAAATATTTTCATTTCCTATGTGTAACAATCGCGAAAACCTAAGAACTCGAACTGTTACCTATTTTTAATTTAGTACAAATTATTATTTCAAGTCGTAATAAATTGATTAACATACGAGAACTAATGATTGAGTTAACGCATTCGTTTTAGATCTATCTTAATATTCATACTGAACTTACTTCGAATTTCATAGCTTTTATATGATTTTATCAACTTTCAGTTCATAATTGTGATGAGCTTGGCAGTTCTTACTTCTCACACTGACTGAGCCAAGGGGATCAAGTATAGTCAGAGGAAGCCTATCCACGCGGTAATGCATGCATATTGGGTACCTTGCAAGCCATTATTGGAATTGCAATAATTAAGTCTTATATCCCTGCTTCTTTGCAGCTGAGCGTCCATGGCTTTTTTGGTAAGATTGAATTTGTTTCTAGACGCCAGTGTCTGGCCAATGAAAGCTGACACAATCAAGGCGCCAATTTAAAAAAACATCTCGTGTTACAATACAAAAGTGCTTATTTAGAGTTTTTTTTAGATCTGTATATATATTATGCATCGAGTATATAACCAGAAATAGAGACGAAATGTCATTTAATTTGTTTGAAAACTATTCTGCCATATCATTACTGTGACAACTGCGCTCCTATTGGCCAGCCCGAATTGGAAACAATTCACGGGTGTCGTCAATTGTTTCACTTCAAATCGACCAGTTAATTTGAGCTTTGTTATAATGGACGAAAATTGCAAAATTATATATTTTGTATTTAATTACCAATGAAATTTGATTCCGTTTGTTTTGTAATTAGATGTTTTGCTGTTTTTCCCCACACCACCAAATGGAACAGCATCCCATTGTTAGAAATATTATCTTTATTACAATAAATACAGAATATTTTTGGAATATACGGAGACGTAGACACAGGTCAGTTGTTGGCGCTGTCTATATTTCAATGCAAACTTGATATTTATAAGTGATGTATAACTGATGAGTTACCAGGAAGGTATGGCCGTTATGTCATCTCTATTTCTTTTTATATACCTACTATAATTGTAAGTCAATGACCTACTCGATGATATTTGGTTCTTTTTCTTTCTCGGTTTACAATATCCCAGTTGGAATAAAATAATATTACGAGATATATATACTCACAGGGTTATTTGTAAAGTACTAACGACCGACCTCGCAGGACTGTATTACTAACATCATAAACAATGAGTTTTGTTTCATGATTTATAGAATTCATCAGGTTTTACTTTCGTACAAAAATAAATATGTTCAAACAGATCGCTCTAAACGTTAATAACTCTGTGCGGTAGTAAAGCGCGATGACTGGCGGAGTTGGGTGAATATCACTTTCCGAATTTCAATGGCAATTTTTGAGCGATTTTTGTAAAACCCTTTTTTCTTTTGGTTTTAAGGTCTTAAACGTACAAATAAGTTCAAGCAATGTCAATAATTATAAAATCACGGAAATGTTTAAGTTAAATACAACAAAAAACGATATTTTAGGTCACACGAATGATTTTCTCATAAACATAAATGAGAAAGACGGCACAGTAATGAGAAATTATTATTACAACACACATTTTATAGTAAACACAAAAACATTTAACATGTAACAAATATTTTAATATAACGTCTTGTATCAAAATACTTCTCATCCGTGTAAGACCATCTATCTGTCTATATGTAATTAATAAATAAATCTAAATAAGTATTTTGTTAATGTCATATAAACTTTGTTGTACATCAATATTATCATCATCACCACCATCAACATCTTCATCATGATCTCCATTATCATCAGCATCATTACCATTCACATCATCATCACAATCATCGTCATCATCACTACTATCATTATCGTCACCACCGTCATCACCACCACAGTCACCATCTAATTGTTATATTTCAAGTGAATGTTTGGCTTAAAGTAACTATTTGACTTAAAAGTAGACAAGAATGCGAGCGACAATAATGATATTTGGATACATTTTTAATTGTCAAGTTTGTAAAATATGCTGGACCGTTATAAAAGTGCATGGATTTTAAAGTTCCCTTTATCTAATTGATGTACAAAAAAGTTTATAAAACTATTACTTAATACTTATTTAGATAGATTGCTTTATATGAATGAGAACGATTTAGTCGCTAGCGCTGAAATTGGTATTTAAGTCGATTTTTGCTCTCTCTCACTTCAATCCGACACGAGCCCCTTCTCACGTGTGCGAAGGGTGAAGTTGATGCGATATGAACTTTTGTTATTAGGAGGCTTTGTATTCGACGTGTAAGTTATTAGAGTTTTTCCTAGATGGGAAATATTGCGATTTCCACTAGTGTTTAATTTTTTTCTTCTTTTCTTAAAATTACGGCAACGTGGAACCGGCTCCCATGAATGAGAAATTGCCCACTTTTTTAATTTTTATTTATTACTGTGACGTAGTAAAGTAGTATTTTTATGTGTAACACAGAATAAGTAAGCAAGCAATCATATTAAATAAATAATGCTTAGAATAACATAAAAGTTATTGAAAGGGACACATTTTTGGAGGTTATCTGAAAAACCTAGTCGCTAAACAAGTTACTGCAAAATACAGATCTAAAATTGTGAGATAGTACAACAAAAACTTAAGAGTTTATTTTTGGTAAACTTATTATGTTTTGTAAAGTGATAATATTATTTGATCCTCAAATATATAATAAAGTACCTAAATGTGTACTTTTTTAATAAAGATTTTTTTATGTGTCATATACAGGGTTACAGGAAAAGTCGTGCTAGATCCGTTAAGGGCGTGGAGTACTCATCATTTCTGACTTATTTTACTATGAAACACCCTACCCTAAACTTACCCTTTTCGAGATATTTGACTTTTATTTTTTTTATTCAAAATTGCCGATTTTTAGGCTACTAAATTTAATTTTGTTTATTTTGTGTGTCTTATCATTATAATTATTGCATTTTTACATGTGTGATAAGATGCTTTAGGACCTCAATCATTAAAATAGTGAATAAGTTAATTCAATACGCCGTAGTAGAAAAGAGAAAGTTAAGAAATTAAAAAAAAAATTAGAAAGTTTATTTTTCTCTAAGGGACATCTAAAAAAAATATTATGGCAGTTGATCGGCAGATAAGTTATAAAATATCTACGTTTCATCAGCTATCTAACAAGGTATAACAATCTAGGGTTTTATTTAAATGCATTGAAAAAACTTAGTTTCATAGGCGATAGTGGAGGAGAAAATTAATACTTAGCCCTAAAAAGTATAACAAAACAATAGGTAAGCATGCAAAGTATTTATTAAATCAGGTTTTCACACAACTTTTTGTTATTCTACAGTTCATGTTTAACATGGCCGCCTCTGTTTCTAATACATTGTCGCATTTTTCTACGGAGACCAGTCTTCACTACTCCAGTGGTCAACGTTGTCCTCACACAACTTGCCATTGTTTGAAAAAATCGTGCCCGCCATCTTGGATTTAGAAATGAGTGTCATATTCGTAATGAGCACCCCGAAGTACCTCGAAAATGATACCTATATTGCATTTACTTGAAAAGTCGTGTCCGCCATCTTGGACTAAGAAATAAATACTATATTTGTAATGAGTACCCCCAAATACCTCGAAAACGATACCCAACTTGCCGTTATTTGAAAAATCGTGTCCGCCATCTTGGATTTAGAAATTAGTGCCATATTCGTAATGAGCACCGCGAAACACCTCGAAAATGACACCCATATTGCATTCACTTGAAAAGTCGTGTCCGCCATCTTGGGTTAACCTGGCATGAAAAATATAGCTACAAGTAGCCCTTTCGTTATTTTTGCCGTCCACTAACTGAAACGCGGCTGAGTGACTAATGGTCAAATATCCGTTTCAAATAGCAAAAGATAGAACTCAAAATTCTCCTTTAAGAACAAGTAAATTTATTTAAAGAATTCGAGTACAAAGATCGAACACTTGGAAAAAATTCCTTCGATCCGGCCGGATTCGAACCGACGTCTCCTAGCAAACCGTACTCAGAAACCGACTCAGAAAGTCACTAATGATGAAGTTCTGCAACTAGTTGGACAGAAGCGTAAACTTTTGCAGACCATCAAACAGAGAAAAGTTGCATAACTGGGTCATGTACTTAGGCATGACAGTTACGAGCTTCTGCAACTGATAATGATGGGAAAAGTCCCTGGTAAAAGGAAAGCTGATTGTAGGAAAAAATCGTGCGGAACATACGAGAGTGGACTGGAATAGAAAGTGCCGCCCAACTGTTCAGCCTCGCCAGGTATAAAGATAAATATGCTGAGCTGACTGCCAACCTTCACTAAATTGCCAAACTTCAGAAAATGATAATAAAAAAAACTAATTACTTAATAATTGAAATGAATAGACTAGTCCTATAGCACTTTTTTCAATCAACTTGTTATTAAACATCGTCGGAAAAATCTTGCTGAAATTATCCCATTTGCAGAGCTGTTACATAAACTGTCACTCCTCACGCACCACGCTGCTACCACGGGAACAGACTCGGCTAAACAATAAGCCTGTAGTAATTGTTTGTTTGTTAATATTAAAAATATGATTACAGGGCCACATGTATTCAATAAATGAGGTGAGATTTACTTGTCATGGTATAGCTACAGAATACGAACCATGTATTTGTTTAAAGTTAAAGTCCATTATAACTGAGTAAGTAAATTTGTTTTCAGACGCCAGCTACACACAACATTTTGTGAATTAGGAGTTCCACTTTATGACAATTTCACATCAGTATGTGTCGTGATATGGCACTTAAGTACCTGAATTAATGTAAGGTTTCTCTCTAATATGAATCTTGAAATGTCTTTCACAATTTGCTTTAAAAGTAAAAGCTTTGTTACAGTGGTCACATTTGTATGGTTTCTCTGCATGGACCTTCACATGAAAATTAAGTTTATATTTTGTTGTAAAACATTTTTTGCAAATATCACACTTGTATGGTTTATTATCACTATGAGCCATTATATGACACTTAAGTTGATATTTTTTTATAAAATATTTATTGCAGATTTCACACTCGTATGGTTTCTTACCAGTATGGGATATTGTATGACATTGAAGTCGATATTTTGTTATAAAACAGTCATTGCAGATATCACACTTGTATGGTTTCTTACCAGTATGGGATATCATATGGCGCTTAAATTGATGTTTCCTTATAAAACATTTATTGCAGATTTCACACTCATATGGTTTCTTGCCAGTATGCACCATAATATGACACTTAAGTTCATACTTTCTTATAAAACATTTACTGCAGATATCACATATATAAGGTTTCTCTCCAGTATGAATCTTTAAATGTAAATCCCAATATGCTTTTCGGACAAAGGATTTGTTACAGTGACCACATTTGTATGGCCTCTCTCCAGTGTGGACCATTATGTGTGTTTTAAGATCCCGTTTTCTTGTAAAACATTCATTGCAAATATCGCATTTATATGGTTTCTCTCCCGTATGAGTTTTCAAATGTGTAACGCAATCTGCTTTACGGACAAAAGATTTGTCACAGTGATCACATTTGAATGGTTTCTCTCCAGTATGGACCATTATATGACGTTTAGCAAGAAATTTTGTTGCAAAAAGTTTATTGCACATATCACATTTGTATGGTTTCTCTCCAGTATGAGTTTTCAAATGTGTTTCACAATCTGCTTTACGCACAAAAGATTTGTGACAGTGATCATATTTGTATGGTTTCTCTCCAGTATGAGTCAATATATGAGCTTTCAGTATATATGCACTTGTAAACCATTTATGGCAAATATCACATTTGTGCTGTTTCTCTTCCATATTAGTCCTTAAATGTTTATAACAATTTGCTGTAACAGATTTATTACATTGGTTTGGCTTCTCTCTAGCATGAGTTGTTTTATGATGCTTAAAATGGTGTTTATTTGTGTAACATTTAGTACAAATATCACATTTATATGGTTGAGTATCAACATTCAACCCATCAGATGTATTCTGCGCACACCTTTTTTGAACTAAATCAACAGGCTGCAACACCACAGGTCCTATGACCAATTCTTCCTTGATTTCATGATCTGCATACAGATCCAGCTGGTCTTTCTCCTTTTGTTCTTCCACAACACCAACTGGCTCTTGTTTAATGCTAGGTGAACCCCCTGGGCTACTTTCTGATTTGCTTGCCTCTTCCTTAACTTTCATGTTATATTGTATGTGCTCGAAATAAGTAAGGTCTCCCATAAATTACTCACCAATGTGATTATGCTATCCGTACCGACATCAATCCACAAAAAAATGACCACCCCAATTCCAATGCAAATAATGCTTTATAGTGGTTCCATCGGATTCCATGATGATTTTCCCAATGCTGGGTTAAAAATGACCATATAAGGTAATTTTCTAAAAATAACATACAAATACGAAAAGGAAGGGAAAAAATATAGGAAAAACGCTTTTTCTATCCTGGAAAAACGGGAAAAACAGATCACACGTGAATCGCACGCTTTTTTGTTAGTATTTATTTTACTAATGGCTTTGCCTTCGCATTTATTTAGCCAATCAAAATATCATGGAAATCTGTTTCTTTTGTTATTACGAATAATTCGTAACATTTTTTTAAAAATTTAAAAAAACATGAAATTTGTAAATGAAGACGGAAAAGGAGTATGATGAGAAGGTGGACGGCCGGACACTTTACTAAAAACATTGCTAGAAAAATGTGTACGGAACATCGGAAGCATGCATAGCGTACTGATACTACAGTAGTGTCGTAACTCGATACGGGAAATTGAAGATTATACCATTGCGGACACTGGCACAATTGAGAATCACTAGTCTCACAAGCCATTCATTAAGAAAAAAAAAATTAGAAATTATTTATTTTTTATTATTGTTTATTGTTTTGTTAATGCTGGGGTTGGTGTGGTCTGGTGGTGACATCGTGATTAGATATCAGATCCTTTAAATCCACTTTAGTGCTGGTCATTGTTGATTGTATCATGATTGTGCCATTGTTTTTTGTTGCACAAATTGCTAAATAAATAATAAGTTTATATAAGTAGAAGTTTGTCACTCGTTGATGTGTATGCGAAAAATATTACTTCCGCGATCATTCGTCTACGCCTGGCTCCCATTATATGCGGTCCAGTGCTCGAGACCAGACCACTCTCTGTGCGAGTATGGTCTGGCGGAAGGTACTGTCCAGCATCTGTTTTTTTTTACTGCAACCGTATCGACATTCCTCTGTATGATATTCTTCCCCTTCAACTTCCCCGTCTTGTTCATTATCAAGCCAAATTCTTTATAAGGTTAGTCCACTCCCCTTTCTGTACATATATTAAAAGTAATAATTTAGTTTCTATAATACTATAAGTATGTTTGTTTTCTGTTGTAGATTCTCTTCTCAGAGAAGTCTGTTGCTGACACTGCTCAAGTGTGACTCACAAACGCTTGTCTTCCTTAACTTGACATTGGTGGAATTATTGATTGGATCGATGGAGCTATAACACAGTGTATATGGTGGTAGTTTAAACGACTCCATTATAATCTGACAATGTCGTACACGGACTTACAAGATATTATGAACATAAAGGTGGAGGCAAGTGAATTAGAAACTAGCCGTATGGATTTACATGGAAATTTCTATATTAAACAAGAGCCAGTTGGTGTTGCGGAAGAACACATTACAGAGGAGTTGGATCTGTATGCAGATCATGAAGTCAAGGAAGAATTAGTTGTAGGCCCTGTGGTGTTGCAGCCTCCTAATTTTGCTCAAGCAAGATGCGCGCAGAACACAGCTGATGGGTTAAATGGTGATAGTCAACCATACAAATGTAACATTTGCAACAAATGTTATACAAATAAATATTCTCTCAAGCGTCACAAACAAACTCATTCTGGGAAGAAGCACAACCAATGTGAACAATGTAATGAAAGTTTTATCTGTAAAACAAGTTGTAGTAAACGTTTAAGGCCTCAAACAGGAGAGAAATGTCACAAATGTGATATTTGCCACAAATGTTTTACAAAAAAACAAGTACTAAAGGCTCATATATTGACTCATACTGGTGAGAAACCATATAAATGTGATTTTTGCAATAAACGTTTTGCAAGAAAATATCATGTCAAGTGTCATAGAATGTCCCATACAGGAGAGAAGCCATACAAATGTGATCACTGTAGTAAATGTTTTGTTCGTAAAGTAGATTGTGAAACACACATGAAAACACATACTGGAGAGAAACCATACAAGTGTGATTTTTGCCATAAATGTTTTACAACAAAACAAGCGCTTAAAAGTCATAAAATCACTCATACTGGAGAGAAACCGTACAAGTGTGATATTTGCCATAAATGTTTTACAAGAAAACAGGAATTTGAGTGTCATATAATGGTCCATACTGGAGAGAAACCATACATGTGTGATATCTGCAACAAATGTTTTATAAGGAAATATCAACTTAAATGTCATATAATGGCCCATACTGGTAAGAAACCATACACATGTGAAATGTGCAATAAATGTTTTATAACAAAACATCAACTTCAGTGTCATACAATATCCCATACTGGTAAGAAACCATACAAGTGTGAAATCTGCAATGAATGTTTTGTAAGAAAATATCAACTTCAGTGTCATATAATGGTCCATAAAGGTGAGAAACCATACATGTGTGAAATCTGTAATAAATGTTTTATTAGAAATTATCAATTTAAGTGTCATATAATGGCCCATACTGGTAATAAACCGTACAAATGTGATTTTTGCAAAAAATGTTTTACAGCAAAACACGAACTTAAGCATCATGTAAGGGTCCATAATAAAGAGAAACCTTACAAATGCGACCACTGTAATAAAGTTTTTGCTTTAAAAGAAAATTGTAAAAGGCATTTAAAGATTCATACAGGAGAGAAACCATACATTAAATCAAGTATTTAGTGTCTTAATGGCCCATGCTTATGAGGTAACATGCAACTGTGGAACTGTTTTTTCTGTATTTATTTTGATTAATAAATAATGAATTTTCATTATTTATATTCTGTAATTATACCATTATAAATGAATCACACTTAATTTATAGAGTAATTACATAACTACAGTGGTATATTTGTAATTATACGATAAGCAGTCTAGTTTAATTTATTAAATTGCAATTTTGAAAAACACTGTTTATTGTATAGTGATGTGTTTTGTTGAGTTCTTAGTGAACTCATAGAAACAGCATGCCTTATGTTACAATTCTATACATATTTCTATCATAATCCTGCATGTTAATCTATTAATATTTGATTATTCTGTTGCTAATTTAATAATTTTATTATGTAAATAAGTAGGTTATTGTGAATATCACATATTTGTAAAAATAACATGTCGTGAGACTATTTAATACTACACGTTCGTGCACAAGCAACTGTCCTTTCGCTGGCTGTTGTTTGTTCACGGATATATAGCAATACCTGTTCTTCGGATAATACCACAGACAATATTATGTCTGTGGGTTATACTGAAAAAAAATCTTTTGAGTTTGAACTATGCGAAAATAATATAAAAATTTAACTGCTGTAAAAATAATATAATATTTATTCTTTATTTATACCATGTTATTTACATCTCATAATTCCTCGCTTGATTCCTTTTTCGCTTTTTCTCCAACTTTCCAATCCCATTCCCAAATTACATTCCATGATATAAAAGTTTCCCTGTTTTAAAAACAAGTTAGTCAAAACACGTTGAAAGTGGCTAACACGCTTACCGCGAAAAGCCAATAGAAAAAAGAAAAGAAATTATTTTAATATTATTGCATTGTTTAATAACTCATTTCGTCTCTTTTTTGTCATAAGTGTGTAGTTAGTGTGGAATTAATTAATATATTATGAAGTTGATATGATAATTTCGGTAAAGGAAAACATCGTGATAAAACCTGCACGTCGAAGAAGGTTCACAACCCTCGAAAAACGTGTGAAGCCCCCAACCAGCATTGGGCCAGCGCTCCAGGATTAGAGACCTAAACCCTCACCGGAGAGTAAAGCCGTGTCCAGCTGTGTGACTTATAAATTGGTCGATAACGATGACGATGTAAAGTATTACCGTTTGTGAGGTAATCTAGTGATTGCCTTGAAACTATGTGAAAGTGTAACTGTTAAATAAAACAAATATTCAATGATTTTTTAGTTTTTATTGTATGTCACAAAGGAAGTAGCAGTAAAGGTAGCTGTCTGAGTGAAGATATAGATTTCTCACGAAGGCAGTAGAGCGTTTGACTAGCGACATATTTGACATTTCAATTACCAAAAGACAAGTTCTATTTTTGGCATTATCTAACCGCCTGAATAAGTATTATTAGCAATTACACGGAGAAGATAAACTGTTTTTTTAGAAGATAACTTTTGCAAGGCGTTTTTTTTTAAATAACTTTATAGAAGCTTCTTAAAATAGTGAAAAGAAAGTTTTAGGTAGTAAATAGTTATATACAAAAATTAAATTATCAATGTCACTTAGCACTGTGCCTGGTAGATCGTTTAGAATTTCTGGTAGCATGTAGTCCGGCCCGCGCATTCCATATACGTTATTGTATCCCGACAAAGTGTATGTTGGTATGTATGAAAGCAAGCGAAAAAAACTAATTTAGTTGGCACAGCGCAATGGCATAGCGCCTAGCACGGTTTGTTGGAAATCGCTGGTTCGAATCCAGCCGGTTCGAAGGAATTTTTTCTTAGTGTACTATTGTACTTGCGTACTTATATACATATACTTGTTGTCTGTGGGTTAACTGTACTAAGCAAGCGTACAACGCCCGCCACGTTCAGTAGAATGAAATTTAGAGCCATATACTGTAGTGCATCTGAAATGTTTTTGTTGGCACGTACGGATGGGTTTGCTGCTATGCATAGAAAGAAGGTTTCTTTTTAACCGACTTCAAAAAAGGAGGAGGTTCTCAATTCGACTGTATGTTTCTTTTCGTATGATGTTACGCGATAATTTCGACAGTTGTGAGCCGATTTTAATTATTGTTTTTTTGTTGGAAATTAGCTACCTCAGAAGTGGTCAAACTAGGGGATGAATGACTTTTGAGGTCGGTTTTTTTAGACAGAGAGTAAATGCTTATTATTAGGTATTATTTTTATAATGCCAAGTGACAGGACGAACAAGTCGTGCCCTGGTGGTAAGCTACACGCCTATCCATAACACTTGCATTGCCACTCAGAGCTTTAAATCGCAAAGATTTGAGATTTGAGATTTAATGATGTTATATATTAACGTACAAGTTTTGTGATGAATAAATGAAAACTATGTTCAAATATCAAAGCCGTCTCGTTACTTCTTTGTTCTCTGTTTTAAGCGCCGGGTTTTAACCCAGTTCTGGCCGAAATCGTGGGCGGAAACATTATACGCGTTCAAACGAAGAAATGTCTCAAAAGACTTGTATCCAAGCCAAAACTCTTAATAAAAGAAGACAAGCTAGCGTGGAAAAATGGCGGGTTTTTGAAGTTATTATTAGTTTTTACAAAGACTAATTTTATTTTAGTATACTTAGCAAGAAAATACAAAGAAAGAATAGTGATAAAGAAAGTTAGAACTATATTCCTTATATTAAACCAAATTACAAAGAGTTCATCCTGAAAATTCCAATAATTATAATGTGATTTAAGTGAAGGTGAAAACATGACTATTGACTCCTGTCGATTAAAAGACTATTTAGAAAGACCAAACACGAGAACTATGTTATACAAGAGAAAGTGAAAACATAATGTTGTAAAACCACAATGGAAAATATTTAATGAGCATCCCGATATTTAAACGAAGGAGACATGGCTTAAAGTACTTGTATCCAAATCAGAGTACGTATTATTTATATTTATACGTATTATAAAGTAAAGCATTGGCTTCAGAGCCATCAGCTTAATGGTAACAAATAATTAAGAAACGCACAACGTAATATACGTAAACCAAAAATTAATTCGTGTAAAAATGTAACTACTAAAACCCGCCATTTTTTTGTATATCTTTCTAATTTGTGGTACTCTAATGTCATATGTCATAGTCATGGACACAATACGTATGTCATGGATGTGGTTAGGGACGTATTATTTCATAGAAAAACTGGTACTGCTTTGGGTTTGTCCTGTTGCAGCTGTTTGCTTCTTTGAAGTTCTTTGTTTTAGATATACCTATCAACCCACTTTGAGTCTCGCAGACTGCAGTAATGGTAAAAATTATATTTGAAAATAAATCCACCTCCCGTGTAGACGCTACTTACGTGACATTTTAGCGGAATTCTGAAGACACAGAACAAGCCACTAATAAATAAGAAGAAAAATGAATTGACTTGGGCACAAGCCTATTAAAGGAAATAATAATAATAACTATTAGTAGATACTACGTACGTATGCTGACACTGGCCTAAGGTGGCCGCCAGTAAGTAAGTAATAATAACAGCCCTATGGATTTACATACGAATGTCCAATTTAAACAAGAGCCAGTTGATGTTCCGGAAGAAGAACAAAGGAAAATGGAGGAGCTGGATCTGTATGCAGATCATGAAATCAAGGAAGAATTAGTCATAGGACCTGTGGTGTTGAAGCCTGTGCATGTGCAGAACACATCTGATGGATTGAATGTCGATGTTCAACCATACAAATGTGATACAAACATTGAACATTACACAGGTAAATACCATCTTAAGCATCATAATATAAGTCATACTGGAGAGAAGCCGAACCATTGTGAACAATGTAACTTAACTTTTCCCTGTAAAGTAAGTTGTAGTAAAAATGTAAGAACTTATACAAGAGAAAAACAGCACAAATGTGATATTTGCCATAAATGTTTCAAAAAAAACCGTGTCCTTCAAATTCATGTATTGACTCATACTGGGGAGAAACCATACAAATGTGATATTTGCAATAAACGTTTCGCAACAAAATCTCATGCTAAGCGTCATATAATGGTCCATACTGGAGAGAAACCATACAAATGTGATCACTGTAATAAAGTTTTTTCTTCTAAATACCATTTAAATACACATTTAATGATTCATACAGGCCAAAAACCATACAAATGTGATCACTGTAACAAATCTTTTAGTCGTAAAGCATTTTGTGAAATACATTTAAAGACTCATACTGGAGAGAAACCTTACAAGTGTGATATTTGCAATAAACGTTTTACAAAAAAATATCATGTCAAGCGTCATATATTGATACACACTGGAGAGAAACCATACAAATGTGACCACTGTAACAAATCTTTTAGTCGTAAAGCATTTTGTGAAACACATTTAAAGACTCATACTGGAGAGAAACCTTACAAGTGTGATGTTTGCAATAAATGTTTTAGGACAAAATATATACTTAATTGTCATATTATGGTACATACTGGAGAGAAACCACATAAATGTAATCTCTGTAACAAAGTTTATGCCTATAAAGCAAGTTATATTATGCATTTAAGAACTCATACTGGAGAGAAACAGGTTAACAAGAAAACTGGAATTTAAAACCCCTAATGGTCTGATAAGAATACTATAAGAATAGATGAGATAAGAATACTGAAAAGAAACAAATTCATGTGTGATATGTGCAATAAAATGTTTTACAACAAAATATCATATATATCATACCTGCCACTTTAATATTTTAACTTAAATTTAAATTTAATCTATAATTTGATAAATTAGGTAAAAGAATTACCCATGACTGTGAAAAGAAAGACAACCATGGTGACTAAATAAAGTACACAGTAGTATGTACAGGTGGGTGAACTGACGACTGAACGGCCTGAGGGAAATTCAAATAGTCAGGAGTGACAGTATTAGAAGACAAACCAGGGTAATTCAGGGGATCAGGCAAAATGGAGATGGACTGGCATCTGTTGCGTGGGCCGGAAAAATGGAGCAAAGTAGTCACCAATTGGTACCCACGAGATGGAAAATGTAATAGAGGGCATCAACATCAAAGATGGAAGCTAACTGCAGACCCATGTTAGAGAAGGGTAGTTCTTGATAGAGCGCACTGGAAAGATGTGGAGGAGACCTGTGGCAAGAGGCACGCTGAGTTAAGAGATATAATGTAAAAATTTAAAATGCAATGTAAAATTGTAATGTGAAAAATATTTGTAACTCAGCTGAAAAGACGATAAATAAAAAATAAATACATTTTATGCTACTACAGTTGAAATAGCATAAAGTATACTGATAAATGGAATGTTCTCTGCTTTTCCATCAGCCGATTTGAGCTGGCTCTTCAATGTTAAATGGAGCATGTTACAGAGGTAACAAAGTAAGAGTGATCGAACAGAAAAACGAAATATGATAAAATACAATTTGAGCTAACATGCTAGTAGTTTCTAATGCTGCAGTTAAGGAATAGATAAACTGAGAATTTTGTAAAAGGTTTCTATTTGTTATTATTTTACTAATAAGTTTATTACTTCATTGATTAAGTAAGTTATGAATTATGCTATTACTATACCTACTAGGAAATTATTCTTAGAGCTAACTTTATTCATGAATTAAAAGTTAAAATAATAATTTGAGTATAAATTTTATTGCAGTCATATTTTACAGGGTGAAATCAAAATCATTAGTATTCTTTTGAAAATAAGACCCTACTCTTCTTTTAAATGTTATGGAACCATCGAACTGATCGATGATTTCGCCAATGTCAAGATAACAATTTCGCACGTCAAAGCTGTCGATATTGTGAAAATTTTTACACAGATGCGATGCTATATACTATTATTGCAAATAATCATGAAATAATACTACACTCGGCATCACAAAAATCGCACCTCAGTGAAAATAAGTTTCAAGCGTACCTAGTCATTTACACATACATTAATGAAAGTATGTATAATAAACTCTAACTTAACATACATTTGGTTTAAAAACTAACATACACTACACGTCGAGTACAGCGGCGTTGCAAAATAAAATTGCCGAACTACTCGTTAGAGGGTACACTAATTGCGCTACTCTACTGGGCTATAAAAGCGCCCGATTTAGGTAAAATGTGAGTCATTCGCTATCCAGAGTTTGAAGACAACAAACGTGAACAACTGCTGCCAGAAAAAACACTTTAAGATGGATACCACTGCTGATGAAGCCGCTCAAGTGATCGCACTGCTCCAATCAGGGATGCGGCAATGTGATATTGCTCGACAACTAAACCTAAGCCGTTTTTCCGTTCGGCGAGTATTGCAACGTTTCCAGGAGACTGGCGAACACATCCGAAGACGTGGATCTGGGAGGCAACGTTGTACGTCAGAGCGTGTCGACGTCGTTACGCAATCGATTTTCCAATGCTGTTGAGTTACAACAGCAACTCCAATCAACTCGCAGGAGATCTGTAAGCGTCTCCACGATTAGAAGATTACGAGAAAAAAAAATCACAGCCTACAGAGCCGCTACAGGTCCAAAACTAAGTGGAAGGCAAAACGAGCCTTGTGTGCGTCTCCCGGACAGGAGGTGCTTGCGGACAAGGGTCATTGACAGCACCTCGGTACATTACAGACATCCTGGAAGAACATGTGTTACCATATGCTGGTTTTGTTGGAAACGGGTTCACTTTAATGCACGACAACGCCCGCTGTCACACCGCTGTCAGTAGTTACTCAAAATTACCTTCAGGAAATTGGGATCCCTGTTATGAGATGGCCGGCGCGAAGTCCTGACCTAAACCCTATCGAGCATCTTTGGGATGAGCTAAAACGACGCGTGAACCTGCCCCTACCACCCTTCGAGACCTGGAAGATACCGTAGTCTCGGAATGGGACAACATTCCCCAAGAAAGCGTCGTTAAGTTGATTAGGTCAATGAAAGACCGCATGGAAGCGGTAATCAGGGCAAGGGGAGGGAACACTAGCATTTAAGTTAATTTTAAGTAAGCTTTTTATAAGTTTAAGCATTTTAAAAATTTTGGAATAAAAGTAATTTTTTAGTCTTTCACTTTTTTTATTTTTTTGTCACTTGGTAGTGATACCCACCATCGCGCCATATCTTTTATCAAACAATATGATAAATTAGCTTTAAAATGATACCTCATGGTAATATTTTTCCCATTGGCAAACAGGGTTAGAAGTATGTTGAAATTTATTACTTGACAGAAAAACAATAATAAACTGCAATACAATATTCAAGTATCAAACGCTGTCGGCGTCAAAATAAATCTTAAAGGATGGAAAAATAAATACGTCTTACGGATCTACGCCCTTCAACGTTATTACACTAGCGATGGGCCAGTTGAGTTATTTATCTTAATTAGCTCGAGGTACTTCCACAACGAGTTAACTCGAGCTACTTTTTTATGAATTCGAGCTAGCTTGGTTTGGTACCCGCTCCGCAGAGTCGAATTCTTCATTCCTCAGTCGGTTTAATTACTTTCGGAGCACACTCGAGTCGCGATCGGCCGGCCAATCGTGCCCAACTCTGTGAAGCGTCGGTTCGAATTCATATATTGAATATACGCCGCGTCGCCCTCTGTACTCGCGATTGCTCTGTCAGACCGACAGCCAGAAATCCCTACTACTGCCGACCCGAGAGATAGGGTTTTCCAGAGAGACTAGGGACTCGACGGCAAGACTACAGCAGGCGTCCGGGCCAAGCCCTCCGCCATTGATACGCCTTCACGGGCGTCTCTGGCGGACCCGGACTTGGGTATGTACTCCCAGGGGTTTGTGGTTAGCTGCAGAAAACGAACACGATGGCGCTACGGCTATAAAGTCATTGAAAACCAAATACAAAAATCCAACAACAAGCACATATAAAAATTCGTGAGGTCCGCTGGTTCGTTCCGTCGCTTATTTGGCATAGTGTCTAGCACGGTTTGCTAGAACTAGAAGACGTCGGTTCGAATCCGGCCGGATCGAAGGATTTCTACAGTGTTCGATCTTTGTTTTAATAGTTATAACAAACTAGTGAAGTAATTTCACAAAAAATAATTGAATATCAATTCAATAAAAAATTAAAGTATATTATGCAGAAAGAAAATGAAAGTAGTTATAATCGAATCGACTATTGTGTACCTCGCATCAATACGAGAGCATACACTTGGAATTTCTACTTGTCTATAGTTATCTGTGCTTGGAATGCGGGTACTTTTTAACCTCAAATCTCCATTATTGAGACAGATCCCGATACTCGGTCTCCGGACCCCCCGGATCCTGTTCTCTCTGATCCGTTACCAACGGGTACTCGCAGACGCTCGCTGTACATCTGAGGACTCAGCACCACCTGCTAAAGAGAATAATTCAAAGGTTGATTTATCTACCCCTTACAATGCTGAAGCAGTATATATGGACCCCTCGTAAATTGTTGGGGCGTTGTCATACTCCTCTTTAGACAAGGGACCTTATATTGTTCACGTTTCCCGCTCGGATCCGGATCTTCCATCAGGTTTCATCCTGAAACCTATAAAATTCGGTCAATTTCTGAAAACCCACAAAATTGCCAATATTTGTGCTGATGGAGTGAAACGAGTTGGCAGAAACAGAATTTCTGTCGAATTTAATTCGGCCAACGACCCAAACAATTTTCTCTCCTTACCCATTTTGGCCATGTGCAAATATTCTGCTATTATTCCGACATATAATCTGACTCGCATAAGTTTGTGACAGTGTGACCTCCTTACACCGTCATCTCACCTCTTTGTATCGCCTCTCTCCGCTTGTATCCTATCATTTTTTTTATTTTACATGTATTTAAATTTGAATTGTTCCATCTTCCTTCACTTTCTCATTTTGTTTTCGTACCACGGTCACTCCCAGCTCGAGCGCCACAACAGTCGGAGCTGTTCCAAATTCCATCGCGAATAATCGCTAATTCTGGTTCATTACTACGTTTGTAATCATTTAATAAGCTAATCATGTGTAACAATTTATAAGTCTTCAGTCTTCATGTATCTATTTCTGTAATTCAGTTTCTCGGCCCATTTAGGGGTAAGTGCCTTAATAATCAAGTGTAGGGAGTGTTTTATACTGTTATACCTGTTTTTTTACATTTACCTTTATATTGTTACAGCCTTTCTTTAAACTTTACTTCTAATAAATATTGTGGACCGGAAGTTTCCCATTTCATTGCCGTAAACCTGTTCACGGCTAGTTAGGGTTACAACCCTTTCAGGTTTGATCCGACAAGTCCCTACAGACTTGACCATGACGGAGTTTGCGGAATCACTAGAGCTGCCATCGGGTTGTGGCAAAGTTCTAAAGGCTAGAAGATTAAATAGGAAAACATCAGACAATGGAACAGTTACATGAGTACCAACACAGACAGTAGTTGTTACATTTCTTGGCCAACTCCTTCCCCCAGGGTATTTCTGTATTACACTTCTCTCCCAGTTGAACTATATCAATACCCCACCATTCAGTGCCACTCTTGCTGTAGGTTTGGCCATACTAAAGCTCAGTATAGGTCTAAACCCAGATGCTTCAGGTGCACCAAAGACCACTCTGGTGATTCTTGTCAATTGGTAGAGAATGAAGCTACATGCTGGCACTGCTCCGGACGTCATTTTGCCACAAGCAAAAACTGCCCGGAACTGGACAGACAAAAATCGATCAAGACCGTTATGGCACTAAAAAGCATTTCATATGAGGAGGCAACTGCACAATTCCGAAGAGTTACTAGGTCTTATGCTGAAGTGTCTCAAGAGACACTTCCGTCCACAAGAACCCAGGTGAGAGAAGGAGGGGTCCTTCTCTCGTCTGGAGACAGATAAGGCGATTTAGGGGTTCATGTAATGCAGTCGATATACCAGCCAATGACCCTATATCATGGCTAGAGGTCTTTTCGGACAGACTCGCTCCTTCCTCAGTTCCTGCTTTTGACTCCATTCCTTCTCCCCCATCCTACCTCCCTTTTCAATCTACTATGGATCATCCTTTCTCCATAAACGAACTATATTTTGTACTGAACGGACTTACCGACTCATCCATCATCCAACAGGGACATCCTAGCTAAAACACAGTTTGGTTTAGGAAGGGCTTCAGCACGATGAACAATCTCAGTTTGCTAACGACTGAAATCAATTCTGCTATCAAGGAAAAGAAATTCCTTGTTGAGGTGTTTCTCGATATCGCCTCAGCATATGACAACATCTTGCTTTCGGTACTCAGGAGAAAACTCACCCAGCTGAGTATTCCTAAAAAGCTCGTGCGTTTTATTTCCAACCTTTTAATGAAGCGTCGTGTGGTAATAAAATCTTCCCTAAATTTCCTGTCCCCGAAAACCGTTTGAAAAGGTCTCTCCCAAGGATCTGTATTAAGCCCATTGCTCTATAGTATCTATACTTACGACATGGAGTCATCGGTCAATTCATTCTGCGACGTTCTCTAATTAGCTGATGACCTTTTTTTTTTTGACGGGGGGAAATCTTTATGGATACCCCTGAGTCTCCCTGGACTGTTATGTGTTATGTGGGAACTCTCCCTCCAGACTGGAGGGCCTACCCCACTAAAACCCCCCCGGGTTTCCCTCTCGCTGGTTGAGTCGGCGCCGTGGGATCGGTGAACATTCACCATGACAATACGCTGATGAC